TTATTATATATATATATATATATATATATATATATATAAATATATATATATATATATATATATATATATATCCACTGTAGCATTATTAAAATCAATTATAATGAATAATCGCCTGTTTTTGTAAAAATTATCGCCGTTCTCTTCTTTGTTATAAAAATGAAAATAAAAACATAATTATTTAATAAATTTCTTAGATAAAATTATGTTTACACGCTAAAACTATTTATTTATATTAATTGTTATAGATCAAATACATTTAGTTAAGCGATTTACAAATACAAAATCGAATATTATTATTGCGATTAGAACTACTATCAGAGATGATGTTATTGTCCTTTACGATATATATATAGAGTTCGCTTATCACGGATTTAGCAATAGTGCTAAAATGTCAAGGACCATTTTCGTCTTAGAAATCGATAATTTGGTTTCTAGGGATATTGCTGCTAGAAATTGCCTGATCGAGCCGAGCAGTCTCCGTGTGCGACTGGCTGACGCTGCCTTGGCTCGAGATCTCTTCCCTCAGGACTACCATTGTCTTGGCGATAACGAGAACCGACCCATACGCTGGATGGCCCTAGAGAGTCTCCAGCGCAATGAATACAGCACGGCGACCGATGTGGTACGTGGTTTGACATTTATATATGTACACAAATTTAACTATCACATTTTGCGAGGAAGCATCTCGATAAATTTAAATGAATACATTAAGTTTGTTCCATGGATTAATGGAGTATTTCGAATATATTAATTTATAGAAACATATTTAATACATTTATTTAGATTCATCGAGATGTCAAAAGAAGAAATATTAATTTCGTTCTAAAACCAAAATATTTCTAATAAAGAAAATTATAGATTCTTTTAAATTTATTACAATTTTGTATGTATGTATAGCTTCACGTTTTAATATTATAGCTATATAAAAAAAAAGTGTATGCATTTTAAAGCAGAATTTACTTTATTATTTAAATAATTGAAACGTAATAATTTTTGTAATTGGATTATTTTGCACAAAAAACATAGTTTTCTAATGAAGTATCTCCTTTGCTTTTAAGTGGTCCTTCGGAGTTTTCCTGTGGGAACTGGCGACACTGGGTCAGCAGCCATACGTAGAAGTGGACCCGTTTGAAATGATGGCGTGTCTCCGAGACGGATATCGGCTCGCTCAACCAAGACCTTGTCCCGATGAACTCTTCGCCTGTATGGAAGCCTGCTGGCTCAGTCCCTCCAGAGATCGACCGACCATGCCGCAGCTGCTCGCCTATCTGCAAGATTTCCACGATGCGCTGGGCGGATTCATTTAAATCATCTGTCTACGATCGCAATCTGATTCGATATCCTCCTTTTTCAAGGACAGACAGCGCACGTCGTCGTCTACTTAGATTTATCGATTATATACAACTGATTAAATTCGTTTACAAATCGTATTATAAATCGCAAACAGCCGGATATGTATAACGAAAGGCTATTGCCCTGATTTAAAACGCCCATTCTGAAACGCCGAAAGTACGTTCATTAAGTTCGCAATCAAATTGAAAGTTTGAAGGAAGAATAGAATCAAAGTCGCATGGAATTGAATGTTGCTGCCCATTTGCGACACACTGCCCTTAGTAATAGGTATACCTGATACCACCTTACTGCCATTGTATGCGTACCGATAATTATACTTATCCAGTTGATCAAAGTAAAATATTGTTGTCCTATAATTGACGAAAGAAATCGCAAAGATCGATTAAATCAACACGGACATATCCGTCCATAGCAGCGTTGAAGCGCGTGTATAAACGAATTTTTAAGTCTGGCATTCGATTTATGCGAAAAGCCGATTAATGTCGCAACGGAAGAATCTTATCTTCGATATTACAAAACAGGCCTTTTTTTCCTTGGCTCTTAGTCGGGCAAACAAACTCTCAATTCATAATAAAATAATAAAGGATTTAATGAAGTTAAATGCGCAATGTGATGAAACCGTCAAACGTCTACTTCTTATTTAAAATAAGATATGATATATATCTCTGAATTGATCACGCGCACACGCACGCACACACACACGCACACGCGCGCGCGCGCGCGCGCACACACACACACACACACACACACAAAACGAATATACACGTAGCCAATTTCTATGGA